AATTTATTGATAATTTTACTTTTGAATCTCCAAAGTACCAACTAGATTCATTTTCTGATCGAGCGTGGTACTGAAGTCGAAAATTGAAGCACTTTTACTGCCCCAAAACATGATGACAGACGAAAAAAAATTTTTTTTTAATAATAATAAATATAAAACCACACATCATGGTAAAATCAATACATTCCTCGCTCCGCTCTGAATCTAAAAATACCATAAGAAGTGTGGAATTTGTACCATAAACACGGTGAAAAATCTGTGACATAAATATCTGTTTTAAGTGTTAGGTACACTGATTTTTTGCATTCAGTGCATATTATACAAGTATCCTTTTAAAAATTTAATTATGATTTGATAGTATCCTTGTTTTAAATTATGGTTTTAATTAAAAATAGGTACACACTGTACATACATCATGTGTTTTCAAAACTCTGGTGTATGAAATATGGAATACTAAATCAATGATTGAGGTGTATTCAACATTCTGTGTTTAGATACAAAAACAAATTCCAAAACTGCCAAAGTTTTACAAGAACTTAACCGTCATCTGAACTTGATATAATAATAATTAATAACAAAACTTATTCAATTATTAGATTGATACTAGAAATGTATAAAAAGTGGTTAATTAACATACTCAGAAAAAAATTGTTGAACGCAACATTTAACTAAGACAAAAGCTTATTTTTGATTTCACATTTTCAAAGAAATCATCAATTAAAACTAATTTTATAACTAAAAGCGGAACAAATACTTTTTGAAAACTTATGCTCTAGTGGCTGGTAGTTTAAAATTAAACCTCTAGTAATATTATATTGAAAATTGCCAACAAAAATAATTTTATATTTTGTACATCAAAAAATAATTATCTTTTTACACGAGAAATAATATTTAGCTATTAATTTTAACTGGTTGAACGATATTTTCTATATTGTACAATACTTTTGTTTTATGATGTATTTTTTTTATAGATATTTTAAGTTAAAGGTATAAAAAATAAAATTCTATAGTTATTAATTTTTCATTTTTAATTGTTTCAGATGAACTTTTAAGAAAAGGATTTAGATTAATTGATATGACAGCATCATTATTTTGAACCGTAAGTGTGGAATTATTATTTTCATTGTATTTTGTTTTTTAATTATCATTTAACTAAAACAAAGGTAAAAGTTTACTTTAGTTTTTAATTTTATTTATGACGATTTTTTAGCAGGCTCTATTGTACGATAGAATATTTGTTKCTTTATTCTATATATTATTTCTATTTAATATATAAATAWATAGCAATGCGTTGTTTTTTCTTAATATTATTAATAATATCAAAGCGAGAACGTATAAGTTATTATTTTAATAGTCACCTATTTAAAGAGCACTGCATGATTCGTTTATAAAATTACCTAACTCGATATAAAATTAATTATTATTATGGAGTTAATGGCACATTGAATTGCTGGTAGAGAATAGAGATATTATAAGAATATCAAAAATTTAAATGATGTATCTAATAGAATTTTAAAATAATATATTAAATGTTAATAATATAAAAATAAATGTTTATTTTGAATAACTATCAATTAATATATTCCATATTCTTACAAATGTTTCAAAATAAAATGAAAACCAATGGTGAATAATCTACAAAATATTTACATTTTATTAAGTAAACATAATATACATATTCCGACCAGTATACYTATAACGTCGTCATAATCTCCTCAGTGAAAATACCGATTGAATTTATAAAACTGTCTCCTATACATTTTAATTTTATATGTGGTGAATATTACTCATTTACATTTATTGTTTTCATGGAGTAATAGGTATATACAAAAAGCTCAATGGTCCGTGTTGCCGAAGGTATAAATGTAAATAAAAAAAATTTATACAGAATAAATAAGTGCGTAAAACATATGATTCATTGGGATTATTGGTAAATATAAAAAGTAGGTAGGTATTATTGAACATATTATAATACGTTTGTGTTTTATATCAAACGTTTCTTTTTTTAATAATTTCTTTTAAATGCTTTGATTACGTTGCTTCAGGGGCATTATAACGGTTAGAACGTTAGAATATAGTGTTAGACTCAAATAGATAACAATATTTTATACATATTATATTATGCTAACTGCAGGTGTCTAAATGGTGAACTGCACATTGCGTATAGAAACTCTGAAGCGTTTAATAAACGACTTGTAGATATAATCGCAATCGAATTTATATACACTATTGTTGCAGTTTTTTTTTTCTCACATCGACGTTCGAAAACGGCCGATCGATATAGAGGGCATAATTGAAAATCAGAGTAAGTAGTATGGTAGCAATGGCAGTAGTAGCAGTAGTGGTAGGTACGACCGGTGTTTATTTAGAATAAGAATGGGATGGGAGAATAAATGGAGAAAAAAATAATGCCAGTGGGGAGTTCAGAAAAATTTATTACATCCATGTGTTCGGAGGAAGATCGGGATCCATTTTTTATTTACTGTGTGCCCTCGTCGAGTAAATATAAATAAATAAATGTGGAATAATAATAATAAAATGTTTGATCTGGAAAGAGTACAAATTATTCTGATATTATTTATACGTACCCGTCAAAATCTACTGTCGTCAGCAAGAGAAAAATATACTACCATAAAATCGAAATACACATTTCAATACATATCACGAATATTATTATTAAATTTGTTCAARTCAAGRAGATAGGTGTTCCACGAAATATTGTGACTATTGTAACTATATGCCAGTATCAATAACAAACAAATGATTAAAATATTTGATAATAACGTTCTCATTACGGTGAATATTAATCTCTTTTTGTTTCTATTCCCAACTAAATAAATCGTCCATGTCTATTTTTAAAAGAGTCCTGCAAATATTTAAAAATTTCTTTTTTAGTTTTTACAACATACAATGATGAGTAATTTAAAAYAGTTTTAATGATCTTGCTCTAAGAGTAACRCCGTGCTATTGAAAAATAAATAAAAGGATTGATTGGTATCTTTTTTTTATTTCCCTCCTGTTATTACAATATAATATCATACATTTGTATACAAACGTTAGAATACGTTTCATGCTATACATACGCGTATTATTATTTATTATATACCCTCATCGAAATAAATTAATCGATATTACAGTAAACTATATTGATGAGTATATTTTTTCATAATATATATAATAAATAATATTATACCTACGTTTATTGGGTGGCGTGTATTTGTAGAATGATTTCTGCATTAATTCCAAATGGCTACACGCACTAAACGGAGCAGGGTCATCGGGTCACTCTAAAAGCGCWGTAAGCTCAATCAAAAAAGTATTTCGAAAAGTTATGAAAATACGTACAAATTGAAATCATAAAAAATTAATTTTACACGATTAATATTCGTATTTTGTTATAATAATATGTTTACCAAATCAATATATTGACACCGCTGTCAGCATTCAYGGTACTTGTCAACATTTCATAGCGTTACATATWATTAATAATATTTTATGATATATATTATAATATATAATATAATATATATATATATTCATTATTTTATAAACCTGTACTAGACCTAATTGAATATTTTTTTCTAGTCATTAATATTTTATAGATATTAAAATTATCTTTACAATATTAACTCCATTGTTTATTTGTGCCAACAAATTGTGCACCTATATGTACACCTATTTAATCTAATAAGAAAATAATAACAATATAGTGCTATTAAAACGATTGAAGTGAACACATTTTTTGTAAGTTCTTGCTATTTTTACTATTTATCGGACCAAACCAAAGCCTCTATTCCAACCAAATTGTAAACTTTATATATTTTGTGCGTGTGCCTACGCGATAAAATTTTCAATCCTCCAATCAAGACCTGTGATCATAGTTTATACATAAAGATTACTGTTATATCAAACGTGTGAAAAATCCTAATTGAATCAATAGACAGGCATACACGACATGATATCACATTATCACAATATTTAAATCATAAACCATACATATAATATATATAATCATATWACCATACAGTATAATATGCAGTCCTACGTTAGGTAAAGATATTGAACAGACTTTCWGGCGTTCGGTGAACGACGCTATAAAATACAATAAAAGTTTCTATATTGTAATATATTCCATGCGGTAAATATCACATCGACTCCGCTGCACTGCACACGTCTTGTTATACGTACTTCGCACACCCGTACATTGTGCATAAATATAAGTATCTACACACACACACTTCTTTATATAGTTGAACACTTGGCGTTTAGTAGGCGCTGCTACGATAGAATATGTGGGCTAAMCGAGATTACGGTAATAACCACGCCTAATAGACATAAATAAAACGAGCTTCTCTTCAACTCAGTATAATATGRTATGTCACGTTAACCATATTGTTATCTTGTATGGCAGGTATTAGGCGTGACATTGCGGCGTACACGTCAATATTATATCATATTCGTGTAGTTGTATAGCATCAGCAGTGGAATAGTGGTTATGGAGATAGCAGGGGTTTTYGATACATATAGACGTGGTAGAAGTGGAAGAGTAGCGTCAGCAGTGGTCTTGGTAGTTGTAGTTGTAATGGTAGTAATTGCATTGGGGTGAGAGTAGTTTTAAAATACGTCTCTAGGGAAAATAATTTTCGTTATTATATGATTTTGTGTTTCGAATAAATATTAATATGAATAATAATAGTGCTTTTTGTTCGTTTATATTATATGCAGACAATTCCGAAATAGGATCATGTTAAGAACTACACTGCACCAATAATATACTCTTACTGACGATTATTGTATTATGATATGTTATGATAAAGGGTAAACAATCATAATAATAWTATAATAGCTGGGTAATATTATGCGAAGGTATTTTGACGAATAGATTATATTTTAACTGGCCATCTGCAGACATTATAGACGACGATATTAGCTTGTTAAAAGAACGTTCGTCATTCCTTTCCAACGTAGAAATACAGTTTACATTTTTAAATATACAATTTACTTGATGATTTAATATTTAGCTACAGGTGAAAATAATTATTTGTTTAAATTTGGTTATTTTTGTTATATATATTTATATATTATATACTTAACTGCGAGTGATATTTAAATTTAATACGGAAGTTTTATGACGTAAAACCTTCAATCAACGTTTTAATGCTTCTGTACTTTTTTTTATACATTGTCAAGTAGGTATACAAGTTAAAATAATTTTAATAATTTAAAATTGTGACTTTTTTTATTATTTATCAATTTAAAAAAAATAATACGTTTTTTTCGAGTATTTTAGACATAAATAYTTTGGAAATTTAAAACTAACAATTTTGATGCAGAATGGATAATATACATCAAAGCTATACACTTACTCACTATATCTACGGAAAAGTGCATAATTAAATTGAGTATATCTAGTCGTACTACCCTAATCATTATTAACTAAAAAAATTATATATACATTTGTTTTTTTTTTTTTTTTGAGCACGTGGTTTTTCATTTTTAATACTTCAAAATCGTCTAAATTAATTTTTTTTTTTTTATTGAACCAGGAGTATAATCCAGTGTATGTAATCATATTGCTATTCAATAACTATCCAAGTACGAAACAGAAAAATGTACACTTTTTCCAATTCTATTTTATCAGACCAGCAATGTCAACGTTGTGCTTACAGATAAATACCAACAACTCATAGATAACGATTTGTTTGAACTTTATTTGAATTCATGACAATTATACAAATTAGTGAAATAATAATGACAATATAAAGCCGTGTTATCCGGTGTATAAACATTAAACGCTAACGAATTAAAATCGAATACATAACAAAAACTGAAGTAATTCTACACTATTCAAAGTATACGGTACGGAAATGATTTTACGTCGTTTAAATGCTCGGAAAACATGGAAATTGTTTGAATATTATGACGCCAGTTTACAACACGTGTAATACGGACTTAATGTCCGTAAATAAATGGTTTTATTTTTATATTTTCGGCATTTTGAAAAAGTTTTTGATTTCGCCACTGCAGCATTTTTTAATCTCCGCATATGTGCTGCCATTTTAGTTATGTATATACATGACACTGCGGCAACACAGAATTATT